GGCTCATGGAGCTGGAGAGGCCAGCCCAGCGGTTCGGCAGGTGTCCATTCTCAGATCCCCCTCGAACCCAGTATCCCAGAGTGACTTGGGCTCCCCGACGAATTCGGCGACGCTCGCTCCGTTTCCAGCGCCGACGCTGCAAGAGGAAGGGGTCGTTGAACTCCAGAGGGTTTGGGATCCGGAAGTCCATAGACATGTTTTGGATGTTCTGGGTCCAGTCTGTAGCATGGGCCCTCAACTCCTCCATCTAAGAGCGAGAGGGGGGAAACGTGAGTGGTAGAAAAGACAAGCGCCCAAAACAAGATCGGGTGCAGCTCTTGCCATTCTAGGTTCCTGTAAGCTGCAGCGTATAGCTCTCACCTCAGCACGGGTCTTCTTAGACAGCACCCTCAGCCAGTTGCTTATCATGGTGAGGATGGAGGCAAAGTAGGCGAGACCAAACACAATCCACAACCACACCAGAGGTTTGAAGAACATGCCACCCCCTCCACCACCACCTGGACACAGAGAAAGTTCCACTTATCTTATATTCACTTTTCTTTTGCTGCCCACAGTGGACAGGGGTCAGGTCTGATGCAGAATGATCCTGGCTACAGACATGGCAGTAATGGGGGAAGCCTGGGTGAGAGGAAGTTGCTCTAAGAACTACAGCAGTGCCTCCTGGCCTCGTTTAGTAACACCCCTTATGCTCACTTTATTGCAGAAACCGTTTTTGCGCCTGCCTCTTTAATCACTGTGTACAGGGCTGCAACCACCCATAATCATTATTTAATCTTTTTTGTGTCAACAGTCCAAAACTAAATGTTTGCTTGAAAAATGACAATGAACTGATGATGAAAATTGCTGCGTATTTTTCTGTTGAATAGCTAATTAGCTGCTTAATGGTTTCAGCTCTCATTATGTACATACAGTGTGTGCAGTGATTCATAAAGTATTCAGACCCCCTTTACTTTTTGCACATTTTGTTGTTGTCGATTCAATTTTGAATGGATACGATTGCTGTTTCTACTCATCATTTATACACTTAGCCATGATGACAAAGTGAAACCATAGTCATAGTTTTGGATTCTTGATTAATTTTCAGATACTGTAACTCTATAACCATGATTTCACTTTGTCATCATGGTTAAGTGTATAATAATGGGTAGAAAGGCCAGTTGTATCCATTCAAAACTGAATCAACACAAATGTTCAAAAAGTAAAGGGGTATGAATACTTTGACTCCACTGGATGCGATATTTTAAAAGAATTCTGCATTAAAATATATGATGCAGCCTCAAAGTTTTTAAATATGTTGAACTCTGCTGCAATTAAAGATGACAAATTAAAATGTCAGATTTTCTATTCAGTGATAGTCCTACTGAGACGAAGCTAACCAAGTGGGTTCAAAGCAGATTCCTGCACCAGGTCAGTGAGAATTCTGAGAAAACTGTCATAATTCTGACTTTTTTCTTAGAAAGCCGACCTTTAAAAAACATCAGCTTTCTTTTACAGTGGCCCTCTTCTGTAGAAATCTTTAAACTATGAATCAAACTATTTTGTGTGGCAGAGTTTAGATTTTTTTTTTTTTTTTTACTTCCTGCCCTGGTAATCATCGTGACCCTTTAGAATCATCTTGTCAGGCTGTCCTTACACTTTCAAATAAAACATAGTTGTGTGTAACTGGTTGTGCATTGTGCGTGTCAGTACTTGGGACATAATCTCCAAAGCCAACGGTGGTGAGCGTGATGACCACAAAGTAAAGCGACTCCAGAAAGGACCAGTCCTCCACTTTCTGAAACACGACTGTCGGCACAGCGAGGAAGATCAAACACCCAATCAGGATGGAGAGAACTGCTGAGCTCACACGCACAGTCGTGGGCCTGACCTTGCGTTTCTGAGAAAAATGATGATTACTTAAATATGTCATGATGGTTAAATATTTGGATCAACATGGATTAAATGAGCCATCATTAGACTTAGAAGTCTGATGTGAGCAATCATGGTTTGACCACACACCATTTTTTTTTGTTTGTTTTTTTTACATTGACAGGGCTTGTGCAATTTGTTGGTGTATCCCACAGCAACTGAAGTGAAAATCCCCCGTTTTCAAACAGTAACTACACAAACTTGAACATGCCCCAACACTATTAATGATGATTCAACTCAAGTTTAACACTAAATGAGATGGATTCCTCCCAAATCACTGCTAGGTTTTAAAACCTGTATTTCTGACAAGGAGTTATTCACTACTGGCAGTGATTAAGGCCTCATTCACATAGAGGCTCAGCTGTGGCTCTCTGGGACTGAGGCAGGAGTAAATCCAGCTGAGGTTTGGTTCCTGAGCAGGACAGACCATTCTCACCAGGAAGAGGGTCTCAATCTTGGCCACAGCTCTCCGCAGCACTGTGCCCATGTGGTCACCTACTCCGGCCAGCAGTATGCCAAACATGGGGATGCCCACCAGGGCATAGCACACGCAGAACAACTGGCCATACCACGTCCGAGGAGACAGGTTTCCAAAGCCTGTGGAAAAACAATAGGAGGACAAGGCGCTAAGGATGAGGACGGTGCCATTCAGATACTCAGGTCCAGGTCATTACACAGGGATTTAATAGAGACAAAAAAGAAAAACATATCCACTGTATTGACATAATGAAATATACTGAACCTCATGAATGAATAAAGAAATTGTCCATCATGACTTACAGGTGTATTTTTTTTTTTTAGACAGACCTGACTTCTTACATTTCCAAATTAGTTTACCACTTGATTATTTGAGTTTGAGTATTTATTTATTTACCAGTTAGGTAATGTTTGATGCCTGATAAGCACTGCTGCTATGAAATGTAACTAAATCCCCATTCTGCCTTTTCTCAGGCTACAAGAACATTTCCATGATAAATGCTTCATAAAAGAATAAGTCAGTGTTTTTCTCATGGTCACAAGTTAATAAAACTGTTTCTCCTCAGTAAAAACCAACCAAAAATTCAAGACATGGGGCCTTATTGCTCCTATTTGGCTGAGCTAGGAAAAACACAAGCAGTATGTCAGTCCTAACTTTAGGAGTCCTACATTTTTGGAATTAAGAGTAATAAAAAGAATAATTCACAAAGCATTTTAGTACTGAAACCAGTTTTAGCTAAAAGTCAAAGAAGTTCGAAGCTACTTACAGTCAGTGAGCCGCTGCAGGTCATGGCTCATCATGCCATCGATTTGGAAGATTACAGTAATAAACTTTAAAACAGCATATTTAGATAGCATTAAAGTTAATGATGAAATCGACAAAACGAAGCAATCTAGTGACACTGGAGATGATGAAGAACTTGGAATTTCTCGGCTGTCAGAGTTATCCATCAAATTTAAATGTTCAAATGATGGAGATTTGCTCAAACTGTGAAAAAAATTCCTTAAATCAAGTTTGTTCCCCGTTGTAATGATTGGTCAACCAATCACTGTGGACACAGGGAAGAAGTTCATTCATAAAACATGTCAAACACAGTGACACGGTCAAGACCCTTTCTCCTTAGCATAGGTTTTTCTCAGCAGCTTTGTGAGTGGGTCTTAAGAGGAAACTGCTGTTTAGGAGGACATCTAGTGGTAAGATAAGGTCCTTTGTGAATATTACAGAAACTCTCTATGGAAAGTCGTTTTCCTAATAATTATTTCCACATCTCAGGTATGCAGACTCCAACAGACCTTTTAATATGGTTGGACTAAAGGCGAGACCTGCCACCTACCTATGGTGGTAATGATGGTGCCACAGAAGAAGAAGGCGGAGGCTAGATCCCAGCGGCTGGTGAAGTTGGCTGGGAGGTTGCTCACATCCAGACCTGCCTCCACTGCAGACACCACTCTCTGCAGCCGAGAGACATAATTTATGTTACTGTAAATGTATCCTCTAATAAATCTGTTCAGTGTCAACTACCTTGTACCTATTTAGACTTTATTGTTTAACATATTTCTACTGCATTTATTACTCTTCTCTTGTGTCTGTATTACATCTTGTGTTTCTCACAGCCGTAGAGCAGATAGTTTTTTCTTGTATCTGAGGTCAGATTTATTTAAATCCCCTTTAGAAAGCAACATTCCCTAAATATTAGTCAAGTAAGTACATTTTAACAGGGGGTGTTTCTTTATACAACGAAAACTCTACAAAATTTACTTGCTTGTGGTGCCGTTTATTCAGTAGAATTACAGAGCTCAAAATCTCTGCTGTGCACCACATCAAACTCACATATCACACAATAACTGCATGCTTGTTTTTATAAAGGCTAATGTAGCGCCTGTCAAGTTAAGTCAGGAGGAGCAAACTGCTCATTTCTGTGTGTTAACCGTGATAAAGCTGTAGCCACATTTAGTCTGAGTGAAATATGTAATAAGAATTTGCTTAGCGTGACCAGTGATACCTTCACAAGCTCGTGGAAGTCCAGCTCGGTGACACAGGAGTTATTATCGAGGAAGGTTTGCTTGGTTTTAAGCAGGTCTTCATATGCTGAGCTCTCCTTGGGGGCCTCCAGGGTACGGAAAACAAGCGCTCCCATCACCAGGTACAGCATGACTCCAGTCAGCAGGGCCAAGAGGGTGGTGCACCGCATTTTCTCCCTGTTGACCCCCCTGCCCCTCCAGAGTTAGAGGTCAGATTTCAGAGGCCAGGATCTGGTCAGGCTCTCAGTCAGGATACACTGGGGCACAGCTGGCCATGAACAGGAAGTTCCTTTAGAGAGGTGCTGTGTGTGAGAGCATGTAAACAAGCAACACAAGTCTTCCTGGGAGGCTGACATATGAACAACCTTCATTTATACATCTGTGCGTCAAACCAAGACCAGGGAGACGGTCAGTGACAGGAAGAGTGAGAATGCATGGTGTAAATCCTAGAGCAGCATTGACAAACCTGCAGTATATGTACACTAAAAGAATTAACTGATGCTGTAGTCATTCACCCTGGCCATACTGGTTTGGTTTGTTGGGATTATTGTGTCCATGTTGTCTAGAATAATTTTTTGACTTCACCTCAGTGTTGGAGACAAAGCATAGAGTAACTGACCCTACAAGACAATGATGATGACGACAAGTGGCAGGGACACAGTATCGACAGCTTGATATAAAATACAAATAAGAAATTGGGGACAATATCCACAGTCCTCATTTGGTGCAAAAATGCATTCTTGTTCAGCTAAAGCTAAATGAGGCAGTCAGTTAGTGAAAATCAAGAATGCACCTTCCAGTTTAAAGAACTTTTAGTACATAATTGTCAAGGTGCAGAGCTACTTTTGGTCATGTGTATCAGTAAAAAGCTCACAAATGCAGTATGAAACACTTTACCAATAGATTTAAAATCACAAGTCTTTTCTACAATGGCACAACAGTGGCTTAAACTGTTGGTTTTATTTCTCCTGCTACTTTAAGATGGTTGTTCTCTATTAAACTTTTGCTCTGGGATGTTTGAATCTGTTTTAAAAGCCTAACCAGGGACAGGGGCTGCAAATGAGCTCTTAGCCAGATGCCCCATATGCACTGCATTGGTTGACTGAGTGCGACAATGTTTAGCGGCATATGTCCCTGTAAAACAAACAAATTAAATAAAAATTGTTTGTATGCATTTTTGCACAGAACACAAGACTGTGGATTTTGTACCCCAGCTCTTAGAGCTCCAGGATTAAGACATATGAAGCTCAAGTTGTAGCATGTTTTACCTGGGAGCAGACATTATACCTATGTTTTCATGGTCTGTATGCCTCATGATGAGTACTTGATGTACACATAAAAATCTGTGGAACACACTATTAAATCTTCAGGAAATGCCATTTATACTTGAGCCTTTTGTTTGTCCTGTGTCTTATTGATGTAGTGCGTGATGCTACTACAGTCGAGACCAGTTTAACTTTGATGGAGATTCGCTCCTGCTACAATGGAAAAAAGGTGCAGTGTGCTCTGAAGTGAATCCAATGTGGTCACAGCCAAGTGAAGCAATGATGTAATACTGAAAGGAACAATTCTTCTCTCTCATACACTTTCAGTGGTTTCTTTTCTGACAGCTTTTTGTGTAAAATAAAGAATGTTTTATAACTGAGAGGATGATAAACACAGTACCTTAAATCATTGATATCAGAAGCTCAACCCATGTTCAAACTCCACAAATCAGATGATGGAGAAATCTTTGATTCTTCTTTCCTCTTCACCCTGTTGTGTCTGTGTCCTTAGTGTTCAGGAGTGGAAGACTGTGGGCCCATTTCTTTCTCCTACAAGCCTTTTACTCAAGACAAAACTGAAACACACATGCATGTACTGTAAAGATTAAAAGTAGATTACAGCAGAAAGGAACAGAACAGCTTTAATTTGGCAAATTTCCTTGTTCTCTCTGTTCCAGCGGAGTATGAGTGGCATCAACTAAGTGTTCACACTATAGGGAGTTTGTCATAATAAGCAGGGGGGGACTGACACACACCAGGCCACCCTGCCAGTCGTCTCACAAACGATTCAGCCAAAACTCCAAACATACATCTTGACATTAATCGAAAACATGTTAATCGCTTATCTTCATTTGGCGTCTAATGTTTTCCTTGAACTGTGTTTACCTTTGAGATAAACCCATACACAGAGAACTGGGATTGTGGAGCTTCTTACTCTGGGTCATCAGTCCTGGTCATCTCCACATGGACCTTGACAATGTTCTGAGATTTCCCAGAGTCTGGCCAACTGTTAGCATTCTGCGCTAATGCACTGCTGGCTTTGGTTTGTGCGGACAGTGTTGCTCTCTGCCCCTGGCTTCAACACTGGTAGAGATTATTAGTTATCACTGTCTAAACCTACGTTGGCATATTTTGATATTTTGCTAAGATATTGAGTGAGAGGCTTAGAAAGAGCAGAGCTGTGGCTGACGGGCTGTGATCTAATCTTAAGGTAAACAGGGGGCAGGTGGGGTAATAAATCATGAGGTGAGCTGTTTGAAAGAGAGCACAAGGCTGATAGAAGACACACATGGGTTACTCTTAGGTTTACATTTAAGACAGGTGTGTAATACAAGTCCCCCTCCTTGAACCGCCACCTTATTGTGGTGGAGGGGTTTGAGTACCCGAGTGATCCTAGGACCTATGTTGTCGGGGGCTATATGTCTCTGGTAGGGTCTCCCAAGGCAAATAGGTCCTGGGTGACAGGTCAGACTAAGAGCGG